TTGGTTGGCCTAAAATGAATTAAACCGGCAAAACTTATATTTTTTGTTTGGAAATCCGCCCCGTCGAGAAAAACTTGATCAGTCTTTGCTATTCATACTTCTTTCACTGTTGACGCCCATACTTTTCCCTTGCACTCAAAAACGCCCCCTCCCCCTACACAAATTTACGCCCCTGCTCAGCCTTAAGCTCATTAAATTCCCCCACCCTCCTAAAAACAAACCAATAAACATAGGGGGATGAGGACAATCAATTTAACTGACAAAAAGAAAAGAGGGGTGTTAAAAGTATAAAGGATATCATTTTGCAAAAATTAATTAAATGTGAGTAGATTTTAAAACCGAGTAGGTTGTGAGTCATGCAGAAAAAGCCGCAAATTTCGGAGGAAAATTGGAAAAGTATTATACTTATTAATCATCTTTACAATCAAATATAACCATTTCAAATCGATTACAATTTAATGGAATTTTTCTCTTTAAAAAATGGAAAATTATGAGATATAGCTTATTGCGTGATCCCAAATTGTAACTATATTCGAATATAAATGCAAAATTTTAGTATACGAAATTTCTGGCCTCAATTTCAATCCTTGTTAGAGCAAAATCAAAATGCAATCACAATTGACGCACGGAAAGGGCGTTTAGGGTTTGAGGTCACCAAAACTGCTCGTAATGGGGTCATACTCGGACAATTTTGATTGTTCGATTATTTTGATTTAAGGTTCAAAGACGCCGTGTTTTTGGGAAGATTAGCTGGCTTAGGTGCAAAGTTATAGAGAATTTTTTTTCTGGCTATGAATAATTGAGCAAAAAAAAACTTAAAAAAGCTGATCCTTATAACTCTGAAAAACCAGCAATGAGATACAATTGCATACAATTGTCTTGTGATTTTTCGAAAAAATGGTTATTATGATAACTTACATCATTCACTCAGAGCTTTGTGTATGTTTGGTCAAACTCAAGGGAAAAAGCCAAGTTTGGACATGGTCGCAACAACAGTTAAAATAAATTATTTGGCAGCTATTTAGTTTTTGTCTATTTTTTCGAATTTAGACACATTTTTGCAGAAGTTTTTGTAGTGCATGCTCGATTTAGAAAATTTACTTAAAAATACTTAGTTTTTTAATGGCTCAATTACTACTTATTTTGTTTATTAAAAAAAGGTCTTCAGAAGCTTGTTGAAGTTTCTCCGACAATGTCATTAAAAATGCAGGAATTTTGCGATCTTAATCTTTTAACCCATCGATACCCAGTGAGGAGTATCCGCACCCCTGCAAAAGATCAATTCAACAGTTAAGCACAAGTGATTGCACCTTCTAACGGGTTACCAAAATACTTTTAATTGCATTTTTGGAGAATAGATAAAATGATTAAAATGGAGGATTTTAACTGTTTTGCAAATAATTATTTGTTCCCAAGGGATAAACAATTAGCATCAGCAGCTTTATACTTAAGTCAAGTTTTCTGATAAGTATTTCAAAACGCTTTTTTCAGACTTTTGTTTAGAAGAATCAAAGTTTTTTACGATAGTTGAACACCAATATCACCCTGAGAAAATGATAAACACAAAATCACAAAACACAGATTTACTTCTTGTTTTTTTTTGAAGTAGACGTTTTTTTACCAAAAAAAGGTAGCTTAAAGAAGGACAATATTTTAACCTCAAAGTATTTTTCAATCTACATCGATTATTCACTAGGAAACAAACTCGTTAAAAACGCTCTTTGATTTTAGGAATCCGTTTTTCTATAAATCTTTAAAAGCATTTTAAAAAAGAGCTTTAAGCGTCATCATTCAATAACAAGCGTAAAAAAAAACACTACATTATGCGCGCTCAATCTCCTTTAAATGCCAAATAAATGAACAAAATATAAATATTCTTGGATAAACGAGTTTAAAGGCAGAAAAAATATCAAAAATATTTTCTAACAAGTTACGAATTAAAGTAAAATCTCCATTGACCGACCATTTTCCTTGAAATAAATTTCGTAAGAAACTCGGAATGCAAATTTTGTATAATTCTCTTGCAAAAACTTGCGAAGGAAGGCAAATAGTGCAAAAATCCTGCTAAACTCTTGCAAGATTTGCATTTGCTTAGCCGCGTAGAATTTCACTGATAATTTATAATATATAATTTTCGCGCAAACATCTGAATTTGCAAATTTGTTTGTGTTTTTTCCAGTAATCCTTTTTTTCAGCTTATATTAGAAGTAAAAAGCTTCTTATTAATTACACAATTAATTTTTATAAACAGTAAAGATTATCTAGCTATTTTGAAAAAAAAAATCAAATTTGATGAAATAATCTCTTAGAAACATTAATGCTTTGAAAATTTGCGGAGTGTCTGCAAGAGACTAGACAAAACATCAAATATCACTTAGCATTATAAAAATAGCAAGAAAAATTGAAACAAATTTTGTATTGGAATGAAAAAGTCTTGTTTTTTTCTTGCAACTGCAATGCAAATTTTGTAGATAATAAATCTTTTTTTTCTGTTTTTTTTGCTAGTTTTTTATTCCGAGAACACTGGGGTTGCTCTTTATTGTGGTCAGATGTAACTAATTCCAACTAATTTAATATATAAAGGCCAAAATGTCAAACCCTGGGTTTGAGCTGTATGATCCCAGTGTAGTTTAACACTTTGCATCATACGATTTCTTTTTGGATTTCTCTGTGTTACTCTCACTCATTTATGAAGCATTTACATGGTGGTAAAGGGATCACTTTGAGATTGTCAGATCTTGTAATTTAATCAACTATGATGTCCTCAGTGAATGGATACGAGATCTCATTCGACCTCTAGCTTCACTTTTACCTCATCAGGAAAAAATTTAATTGCAATAGTATTGAAGCCTCTAGATGAAAGCTATAAAATAAAAAACTCAAGTAAAAAAATTAGAATCGCTGAAAAAAAATAAATGTGAATTACAGAGAATTGATAAGAAACAGAGTATTGTTTCGATAAGTCATCTGCGATTCAAAGACAAACAAGCTGTAATCTCATTTCATATGCACAACTGAGTTGGAACAAAAAGGAAGATTCATTCATTCACAAGGACAGGACTTTACGATCGCCTGTCTGAAGTTTTTATCTATGTCTGAGACCTTGAACAATGGAAGTGATTTAGTTTTATTTTTTCAGACTAAAATTCCTTATACATTTAAAATAGTATTTGCTGGTAATCTTTTACAGTTACCCAAATAAGGGCTCTTTTTGGTTTCCTGTCACATGACATAAGCATCAATTTTGTGGTTCCAAAATTAATTATGAAGACCAAGTTTGTTTTGAAACAGCCTTATTAGTCAACAAGCCATTTTTAGTTCAATTCAGAATTATGAACATAAAATTTTCACTGAATTTTTTGAAGGAGCACAAACAAAGAGCCCAAATGGATCTCTTTAACGGTTGACCTATAGGGTACCTAATGAATTACATTGCAAAAGTGAAGGCTTTACTATTGTATACTATATTTGTGTACCAATTAACTATAATAAATTTGAATTTTGAAAAGGTGAGCTTAATAAGAAAAAGAATAATTATAAGTTCTTTGTTTGGGTAACCGTAATGAATGCATCCATCAATTTTTTGCGCATAAACAGAATTTATTTTTTTTTAAATAGAGGGCCTCTTTTACCGTTCCCCAAATGAACTAAATAATTTTTTTTCCTGAAGGATTGTTTTTACCTGGTAACATTTTTACGTGGCAAATCTTTTAGAAACATTATCTTCAAAATGTTTTTTAAAAAGGGAACTCTTCAAATAAATATACTTCAAAAATTTTAGTGCTCAGTGGCTGAGCTTTGGTGTTGACAACGGGCGCAAACTGCCAAATGCGCAGAAATTCTCAGACGATTAGACCGTCCAAAATTGACTAATCCAAACTCTGACTGACTTAATTCTGATTAGACTGTCCAAATTCTGACTAACAAAATTTTTGCATTGGTTGTGTTGGTTTTTTCTTTTTTTTTGTTAATCACGCAAAATCAGCTACCAGGAATCATCGTCGGACTGGATTAAAAGTATAAATCATAATAAAGCCTTCTCATTTGTGATTCGAACGACATAAAAAAATTCGAAACTAATTTCCGAGTATCGAGAAAAATCGGCTTGAAACTTTTGATTTTTAGTCTTAAATCGAGCGAATTTACTTGTATTGCCATGATTGTTGTGCATCCCCAATCTCTAGTTGTTTGCTCAGATCCTTTTATTATACCACGCCAACAAAAAGCGACACATTTTTGAAAAAAAAACACTCTTTTTTTGGTAATTTTTTCAGACTATAGTCCGAACATTCTGTGCTAGTTGCACTGTAACCGGCTATCCTTGTTATTTTTTTTATGACTACAAATAATAATTTTATTATCATTATTATTACGATTATTTTGATTTTTATGATGATTAGGATTATTATTATGATAATTATAATTTTTATTATGATTATTATTATCTCTTTAGGGTAGGATGCTCAAGGCCCACCATGATCCGTGCGCGTTGCTTGAGGGTGTGGCAACATTACCAAGCCCAGAAGTATAACAAAAAAAAACTGCTTGTAGTTCTTGAGCAGGAGTAGAGCAACGGTTCGCCGTGATGAGCTGTACAGCTCGTATGTTGGCCCTTTCTTTCGCGGATAAATGGTCTTAATAATCTTAACCATGGTACCAAAAATTCTTTCCATGAAGAGCCGAACAGTTCGCATTTGATACCTTTGCCTCGTGGAAAAATTGATCTTAATTAAAGATTAGGTAGCGTAACTTTTTTTAACTCACCCCGATTCAGTTTTGCAAATTTTCTTTTTTTCATAAGTTTTATACGGAACGTGTACCTGCTGTTTTGGCTAAATGCGTCAAGTTATTTATAACAAACTTGTTCAGAAGAGTGGTTTTTTCACCATGAAAAAATTGCAAACGATGACAATGGTAAAAGCTTTTTCCCTTCAAGACAAATAATCTTAAGTAAAAACTAGATATCGATGCGAAGATTATAAATATTTTGTTTTGTTTAGAGGCCAGCCCAAGAAGTCTCACAATACATTGACATTAGGTCTGGCTTATTCTGACCTGATGATGGTTCTGGGAAGTCAAATGCCCACATGTATTTCCGCGTTCAGAACCAAATGGACATTTTTCAGCACAGTCGGTAAGTTAACTCGTCAGTTTGCATAACGAAAACCAAGTTGGTGACAATTTCATTTACGGACAACGAATTTGAACCAAGATAAGATTAAATCAAGCTAGATTTTGTAATTTATCCAAGAACACCCCCCCCCCCCCCTCACCACCACCAGGAACCCTTTAACAATTTTGACGTTGAAATCAGTTTTTCTTTCTTTTCAAATATAAAAAAAAATCATGCTAAAAATTTCATTAACCTTGGAAACATCCGTTTTCAGGTTGGTAACTACTTTTGTGAGAAGTTGGCGAGCCAGTTCGCTATTTTCTATAATATTGCTTGATTTGTGGTCAGGTCGGAATTTGAACCAAACTACTGAAGCAGATAGGCAACGTATTGCGACAACTCACAATAAAAGACAACTCGCTATAAAAGACATAAGCTCAGAAACAAATTGTTGAAAAAAAATTCGACTTTTTCTTCTCTTCTTTTTCAAACTTCCATTAAAAATAATTTAATGCTTTTCAAGTTTTACATTTTTTTTGACTTTTCAGATGGCCGTGAGATAAGCCGGTCAAGGCATTTTTTCTATACCAATATAGCTGGATTAGCCTGATTAGCGTTCGTTCGTTCCATAATAACCTAGAAATAAGGACGGTGTTTTCTTCAACCCGCGTAGTGTATTACGCGCCTAATTCCACAATGTATTCTGCCAGAAAAGCTGAGAAAAAATACATAATTGTTTCACTTGCATGCATATAATTTTATTTTTGGCAGGAGAAAAAACCTCCAGGGGCAACAAAATCGAACTTGGGGGAATATGTAAGTCAATTTTCAAGTACGTTCTGTTAGGCGTGGTCTTAAAGATATATTTTTCCCTCCTCTTATACGTAATTGTTTGTGACGAACTTTCTGGGAAACGGCTGATCACAATACCTGGTTCTTGCTAGAGTGCTAAAAACCAGCAGTGAGAATATTGGTAAATCGGAATGAAATTTTAAACTGGAAAAAAAGGCGAATAGGGAATAAATTGAAAAAAAAAATCAATGCTTTCTTAAATTACTCTTCAGCTTAATTCTTTTTCTGTAGATGGTTAGAATTGAACATGTTTGTACTGTCTCCTATTGGTGCACAATGCAATGTTTCGCTTAAAGTCACTGAAATCAAAAAAGTTGATACTTTGGTTTCTTTATTTTGGCTATCACAAAATCTGACATAACGACTAAATACAATCCAATCCAATCAATTTTTTTCGGATCTGCTTAGCTAATCTCCCTCACCCTTTCTTGAAAAAAGGGGGGCGGAGAGGTTGTTAAGTAGATCCTTTTTGTTGTTAACCAGTCTTCCCTAGTCGATCAAGGAGGGTTATCTTGCAAGATCTTGCAAGATTTTTACAAGTGAGTGTCTAATGGTAAAAAAAAGTTTAAACCTGTCTTGTATCATGTATTTAAACATCTTGCTAGAATTGAGATTATCTTTAAAGGAGGTTGTCTTGCAAGAGCTTGCAAGAATGTTGCAAGACCTTTTAAAGAGATGCATCTTCTTTAAAAGAATCTTGCAAGATTCTTGCAAGATCTTGCAAGATAACCTCCCTTGATCAACTAGGGCTGTAACATGTTGATTTTTCAAGATTGCAGACGTTCAAACGTGTCGATAAGCTTCAACAAAACCGCCCAACGTTGATGCGCGTTTCATGTTGTAATTTAGAGGCGGAAAAACAGTAAAAGAGCTAGTCAGCCAGAGCTATAAATTACCCTGATGCGGATCATTGTTCCGACTTTCGATACGAAAGTAACGGAATATTTGTGCTCGGGGTGGGTTTTTTTTTTCTTCAGACAAATTTCGACTTTTTAACTAGCCATTTTTGACGGAATTTTTTTATATCATTCAAAAGGTATTGTTGTCCTGAGCTTAAATTTGAAAAGATATTTCACCTGTTATCATTTTCCGTAAAGTTATGGGGGTTTAAAGATTGCCATTTTGGCCATTTTGACCAATTTGGGACAATTAACGCGCGATATAATTCGCGCTATTAACGCGTAAGCAGAGATTTATTCCGTCTTATAAATCGTTCCAAATTGGTTGAGCGAAGCTTATTTGCCATAATTGATTTGTTACAAGGAACAAAGTTTCTCTTTTTGTACTTTATATGGCGTGTGGGGGGATGATTTTCATAAAAAAATTTCAAATTTTAGAAAAAAAATTTTCGTTTTATTTTATTTCATTTAATTTTTTTATGTTATTACTGCTGCTCCATAAACCTTAAAGGCAGTTGGAACATTCAGGGATTCGCCCTGATACGAGCAGTCTTGTTTAACTAAGTGATTATTTTCTGGTTGCGCGTTTCGTCTTCATTTTTTTCTTCAAATTACGCACACGAAAGCTGGCTTAAAAATACGGATCTACTTTGCAATCCATTTCAAGAAAAGGGTAGAGGTTGTCAGGTAGAATAAGTTACGCGGATTTTCGAACAATCAGAACGCAGTAAAATTAGAATTTTTACTAGAAATTTACTGCGCTAATTTACTACCTTCGATTAGAGGGGTGGAGATTCGTTAACAGATAACATAGGGGAGGGGGACAATTGTTCAGCACATCATACAACAAATTTGATGTTTTAAACTACAATACATTATGTCAGCATGAATAAGTGAACAGATTTTAACGTTATTCCGTTGCTGCAAATTGCCGTAGATTTAATTTCTAGACAGTTTATATTCAATTTCTTTTATGAGGGGGTGGCGAAAACACCAATTAAGTTAATTGATATAAAGTCAAGAAGTCACCTAGGAAATCATGGCCATTTGAGCCCGCAATCTTTACAATTTCATGATTGCTAGAAAATCGTTATTCCCTCTGCAATATCTCAATTACTTTTTCAGGCTGGCAGAATTTCGGTTGTGTTCAGTGCAGGGCATTCGATCATTATCATAACAAGTTTAGAGCATTCATTTTTTTCATTTAAGTACCCAAATAAGTACACATTGTTTTTTTTGACGAAATCATAAACACGTGTAATTTCCGGACTTTGCCCATTGTAGTCAACCCTCTGAGCAAACTAAGCCCCCACCCCTCATAGTTGAATAATCATTTTGGGAAGGGATTGCACTTTTTTATTGCTTAGGCTGGGAGAGGGCTATAATCGGAAAGAGTCTTCTGCTTTCCTTTGGCCAGGATTTGATAGAATTCAAGTGTTTCCAAATAATTAAACGATTAAATCAAGGAGGCTTTTTTCCAGAATGTACCATCTCAGCTGCATTTGAGAGTTTCAAATTGCGATGTAGGCTTTTTGAATATATGGGTACTTATCAGTATCAAGAATTGATTTATTAAAGACACTGTCAAAATGTGTCTGAAAAATACATATGATGGGAGCCTAGCTTTAATTCTCCCGGGACTAAAAATTCTATCCTGCTAAAATCCCCTATCATAACTGAACCATCTAGAACAAACTCGCCCATAATCAATTTTACCGTCCTGGGGAATTTAATTGTATAATTTTGTTGAATTAAATAGTTTTTTTTGGCTCTTTTTCCTTGCCACCCATCTCAAATTAACGTCAATTTTATGGGTGTGCCAGTTAGCAGACAACCATATAAGTAGACAGGTCAATAGGCAGAAAAATTTGACAATGCTCAAATCTCATTGGCTGAAAAAAAACCAAGTGTACTTTTCAAATGTTTATTCAAAACGTGTTTAAACTTTTTTTTTCAATTTAAATTTGCTCTAAATCAGTTGATATTTTAGAAAAAGTTACGGATATTTAAGTGCTTAAGTATTTTCCGGGTAATTATATGGTAACTTTCGTTTTGCACAAACCCTTTTAGAAGCATAAATTGAAAATTTTGTCTGCTTACGCAGTTGTCTACTTAGTGCTTTAAGCTTATTTAATGATAGAATTCTTATCAGTAACATGAATTGATTAATGGAAGTTACCGTCGAACATTTTTTTACAAAAAAAAACATATTGGAATAATGAATCGAAGTTTTTTTTAGTCTACAAGGCATTTCAGCTCCCTTTGAAGACAACTATTTTTATTAAGCACTGGCAAGTAAGATGCGCTTGTTCCGCTGCGTTTACATACGGCACGAGTGGAATACTCCCCGCTTATTTTGCTGTTACGGATACCTCAACGTCTCGCAACAAATGACAACTAGAAACAAAAGACAACTAGCAAAATTTAAGGAGAGCGACAACTAGCAAAGTTTGAAAATAGACTCATATCTTAACAAATTAGGGTTAAAGTCGCCGATGGAAGAGGGGCGCTACGCGCGTGTCGCCATCAGTATAAAGTCTTAACCGCTGTTGGCAAAAGCTCGCAACACAGTGGCGCCCCGCGCAACTGCGACGGTGAGTATATTTCGAGTTGTCTTTTAATGCGAGTTGTCTTCGGTTGCGAGTTGTGTTTTGATACGAGTTGTCGCATTAAGGCTGTTACGCTTTATATGAACTGTCGCCTCACGTTCAAAATGGCAGTTTGATATTTCGATTAATTGTGCACTTGTCCTCAGTATCAAGAAATCTCAAACGAAGTTTTTTATAGGCTGCATTCTGTTAGCTATGGTGTTTTAAAACTACATATGATCAAAATTTTATCAAAAAGGAGTGCGTTCAAAAAGTATCTTAAAGGAAAGAAGTCGTGAGCCAATTACAATAGAGATAAGAAAATAAACATATGAAGTATTTTTTTGCTACTCTGATTGGCTTACGATGTGTCTGCTTTATGACATGTCTTTTTTTGCTATTAAACTAATCCATTTGAAGTTTTGTTTTAGGTTGTACAATGTCAGCTGCATTCGGGGCTTTCAGTGGCTTCAGCTCCATTCTCATCATGTCTTTCATAGCATATAACAGATATGTCAGTGTGTACTATCCTCTGGACGCCATGGCCTACCAAGATGACCATAAAAGGACGGGGAAAATGCTGGCTGCTTCCTATTTGACATCTGCAATGCTCGCTGCACTTCCCATGTCCTATAATGGATACCGATCTACCAGTACGTAGACTTGACTTCCTACAATTTTTCAGTTTTTTAACCTTACTTACTCTTGTGAAGAATAACGAAATAACGACTCCTTTGTAATCCAGCCATATATGGTTATGTACAGTAGCGGATTTAGGAGGGGGTTGGGGGGGACGTTCTTTCTCCTCAAGGATTCGACCCCCTGCCGACCCAAAGGATTCCCCTTTGTACTATTTTGAGATATCCATTTTTGGCTGACTGACCCTAAATGTTTTCTAAAGGATATTTACTAATTTTTCGGAGCGCGCGCCGAAAAAACGCGATTTTTTGTCAATATTTTCCAAAAAGTGCCTAAAACGCCTTTCTTGGCCTCTTTTTTGAAAAAATTGCCTGCGGTGCAGAAAGTTTGGGAGAAATGGGGCCTTTAGAGTGATTTGGGTCGACAAAATGTTCAATTTATTTTTTAAATCCGCCCCCCCCCCCTCGACAAAATCCTAGATCCGCGCCTGGTTACATAGAAGCCATAGAAAATTGCCGGCCTATTTTTATGTTGGAATTTAACATTTTCCAAATATGGCTCGGAAATTTTAGAAAAACTTCTATTATTAAAATAAAAAGCATTTTCTATAGATGACACAACGTACGGTTTCACATTAGGTTTGCCCTCCTAGGGGTTTTGAGTCCCAGACCATCCAAAGGGTCCCCCTTTGTTTATATTTTAAAGCATCATTTTTTTGACTGACCGACAATAAATTTTTTTAAGCACCGCATATTAAATTTAAAATATTTCTATAAGTTTTGACGTGTTTCAGCTCTTCCGTTCTGTTGTGTGTTGGGCTTTAATGACCTCAACTGGCGTTCAGTGATGACACTTGTGTGCATGTACAGCATAGGCTTCATTATTCCTCTTCTGTCCATCTGCTGGTTCTACATCCAGATACTCCGCAAGATCCGACAGACCAACTTAGATCTGGCAGGCGCCAAGAATCACGCTAACCAGGTGAACAAACGGCGGATAATCAACAAACCGCCATATCTTGAAGCAGAAATTGCATAAGAATTACTTAAATTACATCAGAATTACGTAACAATTGCATAACAGCAATGACAATCTGTTGTTATGTAGAATAGCAATATTAATTTTCGGCTTGTTGGAATGGTAATCCCTAATTTCGGTTAGTTGGCCCTTCGGCTTGGCCTACCACCGATCAAGCATCACATTTGCAAACTCTTTTTCACTCCCCCCCCCCCCCATCCCCCCCCCCCCCCTCCCTCACCGTCGCGTTTCAAAATGCCAATTTCCATAGTCGTTGAATGTAAAAATACGATTTTTGATGTTTCAATTTTGATGTTTTTTATGTTACTGGTGGGCTATCAAACACATCCACCAGGAGAATTAATAATTCATTGGCCAAAACATCGTTTGACATCGTTTTGATTACATCACAGAAAAAATCATCCAAATTATTCAAAACAACCGCTGCAATTTCAAAAATATTACTCGGTTATTGGACTTTTTGAGGATCTCTTTTTCTACAAAAGGGTATCTAGCAATGTCAATGTTAAGCAAACGAGAATTTTGTACCTAGTACAAAAACTCCCCCTTTTTTCAAAGACGGGGAATAGTTACATAAATCCTTTTTTAGCATTTTATTTTTTTCAGCATTCCACAGAGAAGAAAGCAGTGATAACCTCTTTACTCTGCGTGGTAGTTTTCGTCTTCTGCTGGCTGCCCTATGCCACTGTACTCCTAGTCGGTCATCTGCCGTTTGATCTGCAAGTGGCCGAATTCAAACCCCACACAATTGCATTGGCTGCAGTTTGTGCCAAAATGTCGGCGGCTTGTAACCCTTTCATCTATGGCTCATTACACGTGAAGAAAAAGTAAGGTCACTTTTCATTTGTGAAAACGTATACTTTGGTATTAAATTTACCTTCGAAAATTGTCATCAAGTTTTAGTTTAAGTTTTCTGAAAATGTTATCATTTGTGAGAACTTTTCTGAAAATTTGTTATCTGTTGTGGGAAATTTTCAAAAAAAAACAACCACCTCCCCACTTGCTGAAAATCCACCTTAGGTCTGCAAATGAGCTCATGTTACATCTTCATTTAGAGAGATTCTTTGGACCAAGTTAACATCCTCGTCCCAAAGCTGTTTAAGGGAGGAGGATATTAAATTGGTTCTGAATCCGAATTCTTCAGCCAATCACTTAGCACATTTAATTCATATTGAACTTTGGGATGGGTTAACTATGTCTATGAGGGAGGGGGAAAGGCTGTTAATTGATCCGATATGTTCAGTTCTAATACTATTTTAAACAATCATAAGCAAAAAAAAAACATTTTATTTACAGTTGGCTGATTCAAACAAGAAAGTAAGGCATGGCTTCAGTTTCGAGAACTATCTTCTATAGTTGCCTGACCGTCACAAATAGTTGTTTTTGACGTTTGATTTTTAATTTTCCGACTTCTATAAACCATAGCAAACGTTTGATTTCATTGTAGAGAAGTTTCAATAATCGCATAACAATAAGCGTTTGCTTATTTCACACTAAAAAATTAATTAACACGCTTTAGTAGTTTGTAGTTAATATTGGTTGTAATAACTTAAAAAGTTAGCAATAAATAAAACAAAATGCAAATCGTTTCGCCTTAAGCGTAGGGGACAGCAAAAAATCAAAAGATTGGCTTAGAGAAGGAAGGCGTAAATTGTTTAATTTCCGCTAGGAGATAGACCCATGTCGGGGGTCCCGGTTTCCCGCGGTTTTTCAAGGCAAAATAGACGCATTCATTTCTGGATTAGGGAGAGGAATACGGCAAAAAAAGCAGAAAGAGTCTCCTCCCCATTCCCCGATACCCTCCCCAAAGCCCTATAACCTTCCCCTCCGCCATTTCCACCTCAAGGGATAAGCTACTAACCAAAATCGTGTCTGAATCTAGCATTTTGAATTGAATCAAAGTAATTTTTCTCTTTATTCTCTTCACTTGAACTACTTTTCTTCGCTAAAAGTACCTTTTTAGAATTCAGTTGACTATCATTGCTTTTTTGTTGGCTAAAAACGTGTAAAATTTTTCTGAGGGGGGATAATGGAATTTTTTGTGAAGTTTTAGAAACGGCAAAACCGGCGTTTGCATCAAACTTACTAGCGACAATGTTTCTGGAAGCTCGCAAAATCTACTTGCATTAACATAAAACTATGGATTATGTGTTCAAAAAACTCATTCGTTTTTCACTGAGGAGACAACGCAACGGTGCAGAAAACGCGAAAGCATTTTCATGTAATATTGCTAATAAAACTAATGTTTCTGGAAGGTGTCGGCAAAATTTACTTTTTGGGGCAAATCTGCAATTTTTATGGCTCAGCATTTCCTACAAATAATTTTATTTCTGACCTTTCTTAGGAAGAAAAACCATGGGCGGGTAAAAGATTTTTTCAAAGAGTTGGGCGGAATTTCCAAAATTTCAAAATGTCGACCAAATTGATTTTCTGCACTCTTCCATATCTTTATAAAGATCCGAATCTGACCAAAAATTCTAAACTTTTGCTTAAATTTTCGTTTAAAAAATGGCTGAAAATCTGAACGCGGTCAGGTTGTTTTCTCCAGACAACACTCAATTTTTTAACTAATAATGTGACGAGATAATTTATGCAGGCTGAAAAACAAAAATGATCAAAATTAAATTATTCTGATATTGAATTATTTATTCGAAGGCCTAGTCTGGATCCTTATCTTCCCAAAGAACACTTTTAAGTCCAAGTTTTAAAATGTTTCTGCTGTTTACGAGGATTTTTTTGCAAATTCAAACATTTCCAAATTTAGTGTTTATTAACGTTTAAACAGTCGGATTAGGGCAAGGGGATTTTTTCTGGGTTTTAATCTGTCTTCCTTAGTCTTCTTGAGCATAGGGTTGATAATGTCATTATGATGACGACCAAAAAAAAGTTGATACTGTGAGTAAAGGGACGACTAAACTAATTTTTTTTTGTCTGCGGAACACTTAAATGGCACTGAAACAAAAAAACCCCTTCAGGTACAGAGTCGGTCAAACAACAAACTATGCAAAGAATCAGCGGCAACAGGCTGCATTAAAAACTGTAAATGACTATTTGAGGAAATCAGACTCGTCACATCTTGCAAAAAGTTGAAAGAAAAAAATAAAGGCATATCTTTTGCAGAAAAACGAATCAGTACCAATTGACAGACCACACGGTAGATTCAGAAACTACTTCTATCAGTATTTTTTCTTAGTACATTAATAAGTACATAATTGAACAATTGTTGCCAAGTGCATTTTAGTTTATATAGTTGATTGTTTGTAAAAGTAATCATTCTTAGACATGTTTTTTTAACCAAGAGGTTATCTGAAATTAACATGTTCTGCCGGGAAAAAAATCACTCACTCTTTTTAGACTAGCTTCGTCATTTGAATTTAACTTTTTGCTTTAATTTCGTAGCTGCAACACAGTTGTTACAAGATTGTTACGTGATTGCTTTTGATTTGTTGTCTAGTTTATGAGATTAGCTCTTTTATGGTTCGCTCGGTATATGCACTGTCGACAAAACGGGTCTAGAACCAAATATTGAAAATTATTTGAGCGCAATCGTTCTTGCTAAATTACAACTCGTATCATTCGTGTTATTCGTTTCTTTCAAAAAATATGACAAAATGTGATAATATTTGTTTTTTTTTTTGTTTCAGAATAAAGCAAGCGTGGATAAATTTTAATATCGACAGAGAAGCAAGAAGCAAAAAATTAAGTGACGAAATAAATGTCAGAAAGTTGTCGCGTCTTCAGAGAGTCAGACATTCAACTGTTGAAACTAAACTGTGACACAACCTCCAACTTCTTTTCAAGGTCAATTCCTGACTGCCAATTCAACCATTGCTGGGAAAAGATGTCAATCAAGTTTGAGCCATGAAAAAATAAACCTTCCGAAACAAAAGCTTCGCAATTCAACTGCCATTGTGTTTTGAACAAATCGAGAATTTGAACTGAAATTAATCTTTTCTGTAAATGTTGAAACTATCAAATTATGCCGTTATTTAGGTTAATTTGCAATTATTGGTGAGTTTTAGAAAACAAAACTTTTTTTAGAAATCTAGGTTATCAAACCCTGGTGCATTAAAACTTCTGAGATTTTATATTTTCATCTTTCATGTTTTATAATTATGTCTACTTTATCTTTCACTTATGTATGAAAACCTATAATTGATTTGGGTACTAGTTTTTAATTGTGATCAATCGTTTTGAAATAGCGATGAAATATTTTGCTAATTTTGATGTTGATTTTATCAGTGCTTGTTGAAAACTAAATTAATGTAGTATTAAATCTTTTGAAAAACAAATGAGCCATTTGATAGGAAAAAAGTATAAATAAGTTTTTAGTTTTTACAAACATGCAATCTTCATTTTTTGGTGAAATCCCAATTTGCATTTTGTTGAAACAATCTAATGAAATGAAAAAGTGTTTTGTTATGATGAAAACGTATACATTTTGTTTTGCTGGACAAATAAAATGTAATTGAAATTATGATGAATTATAACTTATGTTGCAATGACCCTAAATTAACCCATGATAAGTTTTTGACGATATACAATGTAATTTATATAATCTTGATGAAAATGAATATTAAATTGCAATGAAAATGTAAAAAATTGAGGTGGTCAAAATGATTGTATATTGATTTTGCTTGTCTTTAGATTCTGCATGATTTGAATTGAGATAATGGCTTCTGAAAAAAAATTATCGAGTTTGATTCTTATAAAATTACTAACACTCCTCTAAGTTTTGTGATTTTATAAAATGGGAGACAAACTGAAAACGGTATTTTTCTGTGATTGCAAAGTTTTCATGCTTATGATAAAATAGCAACATTAAAATGCGGCCCTGCTAAAGATGCACGTAACATAGCGATAAGCAGCCCTCTTTGATAACGTCAGATTTTTTTACTCAATTCTTTACCATGTCAATGATAGTCTGTAAGTAGAAGCTCTCCTAGGTTGACATAGACATACCAAAAAAATTTCACAAGAGCAAACAATTGATCTATGAAGAAATGCTATTCGTAAGTTTCATATATTGTTCCAAAATCTGAGTAAATGAATTATAATTGTGTATTTAATCGTTCAGAAAAGTGTCGGTATAACTAAACGAAAACTCTACATATGGAAATTGTATGAATAGTATTTTTGATGGCAAAGCTATAGGTTTTCTTCGCGCCTTAAAACTTGTCCGGAAAGTTATAGAGCCCAAAAAATTTCCACAGCCCACAAAGAGCCGCAAGAAGTTTTCAGAGCCCATGTGATACAAAATTTTTATCCTCTTTTTGTATTCGTTCAAAACTTTTCGACAACATTTTTTTGAACGAGTTTGAGCTGACATTAAAAATTTCTCAAATAGTTGAAGTTCTCAGATCCTGCCGTTAGATCATGCCATTTGAACAAAATTTTTCAATAAATTTTTTTGAATGCAAAATTATTTTCGGTGCATAATGTAGTCCTGAGTAACCAAAAAATACAATTTTTTCTTCATAGTTACGTTGTTTTGGAAAATCACCAAAAAATGAAATTTTGTGATTTGCATATTTTTATTTTCTTGGGTAGTGGATAATTATTGCAAAATCTATTTTTCGAAAAGTTTAATTTAAATTTAATTCAAAATTTTCAAAAAAGCAGATTATATGTCACTATATTGTATACGAGGTTGGGGGGATTCTCAGTGAATCAAGATTTTTGACGGCAAGCGTTTTATCATTTGTTTTTGCCTAGACATAGTTTGCTTAAACATCATGATAAACAGTTAATTTAGAAAAAAAAACCAGAAAGCAAAAAATTTGTTTATTGGTAAAAGGGTACTATATACAATTTTGATTCATGCAAAACAA